CACGGCACAACGACGACCACGTGCCGATCTACTGATCATATCTTCAGTAAACAAACCGCGTCATCAGGCGGTATATCGTGACGCATCCCTGCGTTGCATTTCGGTGCATCCGCGGCGCCGTCCGCGGCTGCGTAACTCCTTTAAGGATGAGATCGCGCAGACGTTCACGGGACAAAAACACGATCCTCCCGGAGAGACTTTTTACGAGTCTCCTTGCCGGGCGCCCCGCGCGCGCGAGACGTCGCGTCGCGTCGCGACGCTGTCGCGCGCGCGAGCAAAGAAAAAGAGAGTGACGTCACGCCGGGCTAGTCCGTTGGGCTAGGTCGTGGCACTCCTTGTATTCCACCTCCTCATCCTCCTCCTTCTCCTCCACCATCTCCTTTCTCATCCTCCTTCTCCTTCTTTTCTTCCTCCACCTCCTCCTGCCGCCTCAACCATCGACTTCTCTACCCATCCTCCTCCTACGAACAGCGCAAACCAACCCCTGCACCCTCGCCCGCGTCGCTCCGCGCCGCGCGCCGTGCCGAAAAAAGCAAGGCTCGCAAAAGGACGCCCGGCGTCGTGGCGCTCTTTGGCTGATCAATACCCGCCGCCTCGTACGCGAACGGACGGTCACGCATGTGCACGGTGTGGGCCGCTCTCTTTCTCTTTCTTTCCCTTTCCGTTTTGGTCCCCGCTTTTCCACCCTCTTCGTCTTCATCGTTCGCCTTCTTTTTCTATCTCCCTCTCACCCTCGCTTCATCTTTCTCTCTCACTCTCTCGGCCTCGTCCCTTTTCTTTCTCCCCCGCGTCGTTCCACCCGTCTTTCCCGACCCTCCGTCTCTGTTTGTCTCTTTCTCTGTCTCTCGTTCTCTCTCTCTTTCTCTCTGTCTCTCTCCCTCTCTCTCTTTCTCTCCCCCGCCCCGTGTCCTCCGTCTCCCTCGGTCTCACCGCCGCCACGTCCCTTTTCTCTCGTTATCTCTTCGTCTTTCGCGCGCTCTCGATTTTTCTCCCGCTTCTTTCACCATCCCCCGATTTTTCCTCTCCCTTGTGTCCGTCTACCATCCTTCTTCTGTCCACCCTCTTGCTCCGCTAGCTCCTCTCCTGCCCCCTCCCCTCTATCTTTCTCCCGCCTTCCCTTCCTCTCTCTACATACCCCCGCCGCCTCCGTAGAGACGGCCCGATTTTTTCCTCCCGTTTCCTCGGCTCCGACATTTTTTACACCTTTTTTCTCCCCCTCCAACGGCTGCCCATGCGCCGCTCCATCCCGCGCTCGTTCTCTCTCCCCCGTCCCCGCCAGCGGGGAATACCGCCTCGAGCATCCGCTCGGTCTCTCTCCATCTCACGTCACACATACGCACATGATCTCTCTCCGTCTCTCACCCCGTCCACCCTTTTTCTCCTCCCGTTCGCCCACCTCGCTTTCCTCCTCCCTTTCATTTTTCCCTGCCTTTTACCCCCGTCCTCCACCACCCCCGCCCGCCCTACCCCCTTTCCCGACTCCTATCTTTTTGATTTTTTTTTCACGACTACCCGACCACCTACCGACGCCGCGCGTCGGCGTCCTTTTTCTATCGGGACGCTCTTCTCGACCATCGGCTCGACCACGTACTCACGTACACGTACGTACTAACGACGGGCGCGCGCGCAAGGGAGAAAGAGAGACGAGGAGATAAAGAAGGGCGTAAAGGGAGCTGGACGTGGGAGGAAAAGGAGGACCGAGGGGTGCACCACGATGGTGCACGATGGAGAGAGCGGTGGATGGGGAGTTGGGGGGAGGTGGGGGAGGGGTAAGAGAGGTGGAGGGTGATGAGGAGGGCGAGAGCGAGGGGCGGGCAAGGGGGATGAAACTGGCTGCAGTGCCTGGATGCGAGCTAAAATGTATTTTTTTCCTCTTTCTATATCTTCCCTTCGAGCGAACCGTGGTAGGTTGGATTACCAATCCGGAGCTGCCTCCGGCACGTTCTTCTCTGTCGAGCACGTATAGGGCGGTGGACGTAAGGGCTCGACGAGCGAACGAGCGGTTCGCTGGACGGCACTTTAGTACATATCGTTGATACCGATATGGAAATTATCCAACTGAATTTTAACCGCGCCGCGCGCTCTCCCTCGCGCGCGCACACACATACACACGTACACGTGCGCGCATACACGGCACCGCTGGATTCAATTTAGACTGATCACGTGTATCCGCTGCTTTTGATATTTTCGTGCCTTCCAATACGTACCTGGAGAAACAACCAAAATTTTTTTACGTGACAGGAGAAGGGGGACTTAACGAGGGAAGTCGCTCGCCTCTGAGTGAAAATTACGCCTCTGTATATCCTTCTTGACTGATGTCTCGGAAAAATATGTATTTATATCTCGCGACGTGTGTGTTATAAGTGCGCGCAATACTTATAATATCCAGCGCATATCGAGCCATTTAGCTTGATTATAATCTATTTCTCTTTTCCAATTTTGTCTTCTCTTCACACTTAGGGATATTACTTTAAGGTTACACAAAGGAGCAAACGCGAGGATGATTAATATTTCACGTATGATACGTGATTATACATAAATGATGTGCAGTCCAACCGTCGCGCGATAAAAATATCCAATTTTATCCCGGCGGCGAGTTTGACATAATTTCAAGATAACTTCGTGCGATCCGGTCACGTTCATATTATAAAGTGCGTCTTTCGAGATCGTTTCGTCGTTCTAATAATATATCCCAATGAATGTTTCAAAACGTGATTGAAAATCACGTTTCTCGCCACGCATACATTACGAGGTGTATTATTCGTTATTAGTAATCTCGAAAGGCAACTCATCTCTGTCTCTTTCTCTCTATCTCCTCCTCCCCATCTCTCCTCTCCCTCTCCTTTTCTCCCTTTTTCTCTGTTTCCAGCAATCTCTCGCGATCGGTTTCCACTCGTTAGCTCGCGACTCATCGAATAAGCCGCAGAGAGCGAGCTCATCAAATATCGGGGACTCGTCCCGTTTTATTCATTAGAGATGCATTATCCCAATATTATCGCGACTCGATGAAAATCCCGATTTTAGACCCGCGCGACCATCACCTACCAGGCGATGCCATCTGGCAACACACGCTCGGATTTAAGGGATGAGATCTCTTCCCCTCTCCTGCCCTCGCCACTCGCACCGCCGTCGTTACCGTCTCTCTTCCCTACCCGCTTACCGACAAAGTCGATTGCTCTCGAACGTACACGTATGTATGCGTCTTCCATCCACTTTGGCCTCCCCGGCTTCCGCCTTTAAAATAGATACGAATCATGCCACGTACTTCCGCCGTTCGCTCGTAAGTTCATCGAGGGAGAGCCGCGTGTGTTCCGTAGCACCTTTTCCGTCTGTCCCACGTCACGGTCCCGACTGGCTGCGAAGATCTCGGATGGTTCGAGGATCATCGACGTTCCTCACCGCTCCTCCCTCGCACTCCCTGATCCAGAAACGCGTATCTTTGCGCCCCCATCCAGCGCTTACGTTCCGACAGAATCGGTTCGTTTGACGAGCCACCTGTGGCGCGAAGGGCTACTGCCGGCCCTTCCAGGACGGCCGCGATCTTTGTCCCCTTTTCGACACGTTTCGATTCATATATATATCGTACCCCGTGTCCTTTACGGCCTCTCGAGCACCGGCTCTATTTACGAGCTCGTCGTGAAGACGTAACTCCTAAGTTCGCGAATATCATTCCCGACGTCGCGGGAACGATATGATCAAACATCGGAGATCTAACGGGAGAGGACAGCGAGAGTGGATATACGTGAATTACATTGTGGATTCAAGCGAGACGCGCATGTGAACTTCACGATTTAACTATTTCAAGCAAGACATGCGCTTTTATTTAAAAGTGAGTAAAAGCGACGTCTCGAGATTCGAGATAAAGCAGGGTGTGAGGAAAGTTTATGTACAAACATCTTCGCACAAATTGCTCATGTCCAGAACATTGTTTTTTCATTATTTATACAAATATATTAAAAATGATGACGTGAGATAGAAGATTCTGCCTGACATGTATGACGCGGTGTGTACACGCTAAATACTCAAGACTTTGCTTATCGGTTTGGGAAGGTATTCCCATCGGATAGAAACTCGGAAGAAAGTAGTTCGAACTTTCGGTTTACGAGGCTCCCGGCCCACTCCGAATTCTCGGGGAGGCGTACGCGACCTGGCGCGAGCCCCATCGAGGTGAGGAAGGTCATGCCGGGGGATGGATGTGGTTTAGAGGGTCGTGGGAAGGGAAACCGGGTCATCCTTCGATTGCTCTTGCGGCGCTCTATGCGTGTCACTGGACCTCCGTAAGGCGGAGGGGACGATTAATTTCGCGCAAACGCTCCTAGATCTCCAAAGGAGTTCCCGAGCGATAGTTAGCGAGACGCCGAGTAATTTATCGCGAACCAATGCGGGTTCTTCATTCCGGAGGGCTCATGTCATTAAATAAAAACAAGAAAAAGGGGGTACTCAAATAGGAAACAAAAAATATGATGACAGAAACTTTTCACTTGTTTTATAAAGAAATTTCCGCTTGTGTGTGTGAGAGAGAGAGAGAAAATGAATGATAAAGTACTCGAGAATGCTGTCCTTGTGTAAACTTGTCGAGAGATACGTTCTTTTGTAATTTTCACTCCTGACTTAATGGACAATGATAATTAACCCTTCAAGAGGCAACGAAGATCATTTGTGTTCTAAGAAGTGCTCGTTTCGCGGAGCATTTTGTCTTAGAAAAATTAATAAAAATAAAATACTCAGCAATCTATTTTTCATAAAAAAAACTGTGTAGTTCAACTTCAATTAGAAGAGTGAAAGAAGTTTCAGTCATTTTTGGGGATTTTCTCGAGCGTTTTCCAAGGGGAGAAAAATCGAGGAAGACACTAATGACGCTGGTTGCCACTTGGAAGGTAGCGGAACCATGTTGTCACTCGCGGAGGGTTAATTAGCTACTCCTGGGAAAATTATTTTCCGGCAGGACATACCATTTTCCTCCAGGAGCTAACCGAGCGATATTCCTTTCTGTGTTGCAGCAATGCGCGCCGCACGACAAGGAAAGCGACTATTGGGGTGGCGGCCGGGGCGCGAAACAAGGTTACGAGGTGAGACAACCCACTTCGAAATATTTAAGTGGCCTAATTCATATAAATGGTCGCCGTGCTAATTCTACTTGGTGAAGCGCAGCACTTTCTGTTGCAGGCTAAGATGAACGCAGATCACGGCCAGCTGCAAAAAGGTGAGCCCAGTTATATGCGTATGTATGTATGTGTATATATATATATATATATATACACACACACGCGTCCGCGCGCATTTCAATACAGGCTCATTTATTCCTCGTCGTCTGTTTATTCATTTCGGCGCGAGAGATCACGAGAACCTGTTTACTCGGAACAATCGCGACGATTGTCGCGGTCAGCTAAATAATGAGGTGCCTCTGACCGCGACCTCGTCGCCGGAGAGACGTCTCAGCGTGACGTCGCGGCCTCGCCGCCGTCAGATGTAAACACTTCCTAAGACCTATCCTATCCCTACACGCGCCGCGTCCGGGAACCGGTTGTGACTGCACGCGTGACGTAAGATCGGCGCGATTAGGAGCGAGAGAAAAAGTTCGAGAAAAAGAGAGAGGGGACAGTGCACCGGGCAGCAAAAAATCACGCGCCGTGAACGTGAATTTATCGCCGCGCCGTACGGGATGTAGGCTGCAGTCATGGACATCTTCTTTCGCGCATCTTATTTTTCCCTGGCGTTCCCTCGCGTCGGCATCCTGGCCTCTCCCAGACCCCGTTGCGCGCGAGCTTCGTGAAAAAAGTATGAAACGGTTACGCGAAGGGATTATGCGCGAGACACACCGCACGTCGTTCGCAGCACGCGATTTTTACGGTTCACGGAAATGTCGGAGCTTCTTGCTGGATTTTGTCCAAACGCACAGAAAAGTGTGTGTAAGTGTGTACACGGGACATTAATTTCTCCTAATGACTCCTTTCAGTTTTTCCTTAAACTTTAATTCCATAGCGTGAGATTCTCAGCATGACGTGGATCGATTTTAATTACGGGACAGTTTGCGCCATTCTCGGCTGATAAGCTCGAATTTCCGGCCTGACTGTGTTTCAGTTTTAAAACGAACTTCCACAGACAGACAGACAGACAGACAGATAAATGGACAGGCACCTGTGTTCTTATAGCATATGTAGGTAGATCGTCTTATATTAAGAGCACGCTCGCGAGCAAATGAATTTAAATAAGAAATTTGAGTCACTTCACGTGTATTCGCGAATAAATATAGTTTCTCATAAATTTTTCGAGTATTTCTAATTTCAATCGTTCGCAAAAATATAAGATCGAGCTAGACCGCACACAGAAAAATACATACTTCACTCAAGTAAATATTACTTGTTTCAAGTATCTTATACGTCCGCACATCCATCATAAGTCCATCGTGAGCATTAGCTTTGTTCAAGATACATCTTGAATTCTAGTAAGTTTAGCATTTCACAATCAAGAATATTAAATTAAAAGAAATGTTGAGTTTGCTTGCTACACGAAATTGAGCCAACTTCCTCTTTAAAGTTTTTCCTCATAAAGTTTTGAAACGTTATAAAGAGAATAAATTCTTTTCTTGAGCGTATGATAACGAGCTTATCTCAAATTTGTGATAAGTATATTTTGAGACTATTATCAAGAAAATATTCCTTGGTAAGGGCAAACAACAAAAGGGAGGAGAACTGAGCAGTCAGTTTTCTCAGCAATCGATTGTTTTTCTGTGTGTGAGCTTGAGAAAAAAGCCTTTCTTATCCGGCAATTTCGGCAATAATCCCGGGCCCGAGTTAATCAAGACTTGCCGCGATTTCTTTCTCGCCTCCCCCTCCGCTTGCCCTCCTCGTCTGGAAGGGATTAAGCAATCGGTGCTTCCGTACGTAAAAGGAGAGGCACGTTTCAATACGCGTTTTTCACTGCCAATGGCACGCGCGCTGGCCGACCTAGGTTGACCATTTACGAGATAAGACCGCCACCCTTCCATTCTCGATCAGGATCGACGGACACTCTCGTCAGTGATTCATGCCGTGGAGAAACGCAAACCTGTCAAGTGGGGTAAAAAAAAAGTTGCACGACCACCTGCGATATTTTCCTCGATATTGCCCCGTAATTTAACGCGTTCGCCTCCGCCGGAGATATTATTCGAACAATATCTGTCGCGTCATCGTACGCGTTATTGCAATTATCCGATCGCACGAGCGCATTCGTTTTCATTAGATGAAGTCTGTCCTTAACGTCCGCGTCTCCCCTCCCGCGTGGACAGAATAACGTGTTGTTAACGTTTTTATCTTAATTATGAAAAATTTGCAAAAAAACGAGAGAAAACGACAACGATTATATACATGTATACGCATCCGACGAGCGCGCTTCTATCGCCAACACTATTCTGGGCAATTTTACCCCGTCGCCGTGCACTCCCGCCACGCGCTCTCGAACAGCAGCAGAACGAAGAAGCGGGAGAGAAAGAGGCAGAAACGCGTCTTCGATGTTATTTTCTATTCTAATGTACCGTGTCTTGCCGCGGGCACGAGTCCGCATCGATCCGCGCAAGCCGCGACCTGGCGCGCAACGGTCGTTATTACACATCGCGTGTCTCAAAACTAAATTTCTCTTTCATCGGCGGAACATTCTTCGCGCTCGGCGCCCATCAGGCCCGACGCGAACGGGCCCTGAAATTAGCCGCCGGCCTGGCAATTGCGCAAACACTCACGACTATCCGTTAATGCACGGATCGCATGACGCCAAAATTTCGGGACTCGTCAAGAGCGAGAGGTGAGGGGGGAAGAGAGGAGAAGGCGACGGAGAGCGGTGACGGAGGGGAAGATGTGTGGGACGACGACGACGATGACGATGCGGGGCCTCAAGGCCTCCTTGCGTCCAGTCTCATTATCGTATTCGCTCGTGGAGTAATGCGAATCACTCATTTGGAAATTCTTCCTCGGCCTGCTCCGGAGCGAAGAAAGAGAGAAAAAGAAAGAGAGAGAGAGAGAGAGAGAGAGAGAGAGAGAGGGAGAGGGAGGGAGGGAGGAAGGGAGAGATAGAGAGAGATCTATCTCGATACGCCATAACTTGGAAGTAACACGGATGGGACGTGTCGCAATGCGCGCGTGTATGATTTATCCGTCCGGCGAAGATGTATCTCGATGAGAGCGGAGTCGTAGACTGCGCCGCGGGACGCATCTCTAGGCTAACGCGTCGCCTATACCGCGACCTTGTCGGGAAACTCGTTAGTATCGGTATGACTGACTGATATTTTTTTTTTTTCATTTCTCTCGCTCTCTCTCTTTCTCTCTCTCAAACACACTATTAATCTTCAAGAGCGGATAACGCGCGCGCGCGCGCGAGTTTTGCGGATTCGTCCCTGTGTTAGACATTAAATACCGTCACGAGGAGAAAAAGGTTGTCTCGTCGACTCGATCGTCGATCTCTTTATTCGCAGTGTTATATCCCGTCGAATAATTTAACAAAATGTTCCGTGTGATAAATATCGGGAATGCTCGTTACTTCGGTTAACGATTTTCCGAACATGTTGGGCCGGCTTCTTCCGGCCGAATGGGAAATCGCGGGATCTCGCGTTACTCTGTAATATATAATTGAAATGCCGCGGCGCGCGCGAGAGACGGAGGGAGAACGAAAGAGCAGAATGGAACAGGACGAGCATTATTTTTTTAATAACGAGCGTTCCACCTGTTTTCCTCGAACTCTTATTCCTACCTCTCTCTCTCTCTCTCTCTCTCTCTCTCTCTCTCTCTCTCTCTCTCTCTCTCTCTCTCCGTGCGGGCGAATATACGAGGAAACGGATCGCATTCGTATCGAAGGGGCAGAATCGCCTCGTAAACAGGTCGATAAAAATCCGACTGTTCCACGTAAACAGACATGCACGGAAATCGGACGACGTGTTCCGTCAAATCCCGACTATGCATGCGATGCACACTATGCGTGTGTGTGTATGTATGTGTAGGCGCGTGTATACATGTGAGTGTAACGCATCATTCCTCAAGCTTCTTCAAAGCGACACTGCGCTCTGCCCCGAAACAATGATGACATTTCGAGTCGCGCATCTATTGCGGTTGCCGAGACGCAGAAAAGCCGGTTATTCAGGTGAATTCCGATCCGCGACAAGCGTGTTTTCGACACCCCGTCTCGCCAACACGAGACAATTTGACGCGCACTCGTCGGTGTAATAGAAAACACCTTGAAAAGTCGAATTAGGAAAAGAGACTTAATGAGACGGAAAACGAAGGGCCAGATCATTGTCCCCTTTTTAGCTTGGGCTGTGATAGCCGTCATCCGGCGAAAAAGTAATTTCGGTACGTCCCCATGCATTTCGCATGGCGATATATTATTTCGGCATTATATCGGAAATAGTGATATTTTATGGATGAGTCGGAGATATTTAATCGGAATCATTTATTCCCAGCCGAATCGAAGAACACGTTGCGCGCGAACGTGTGTTGCTGTGTGTGCCTGTATGTGTGTGTGTGTGTGTGTGTGTATGTGCGATGTGGAGCACGCTGGAACGTGGACTGGAACTCGGTTACAACGTGCTCCCGACACGGGTTACAACATGTTGAAGAGTTCGGGGTCAATTAAAAGTTGGGTTCTTCCGTGTTCGTGCACGAGGAGCCGCGGGGTAGGAAAGGGTGCGTGGAAGGGACGAAGGGAGAGGAAGATTCACGCGTGCAAGGAAATCTAGTATTTCTCGAGCGAAGGATCGTCTTATTTAGCGGCCGTATTTCATGTTTTTATTAGAAGCAAAAATTTATTGCAAATTAAAACGGGCGTTGCCTTTTCGGCAACTACACGCAAAGAAATGGCTGAATAATATAGGAAAACGCCCGATGATATCACCTTCGGCATTTTTGTTTGGATTTTATCAAATACCAAGGTGTATAGGGACTTAATAATTATTTAGCAAATGTTACTTATTATTTGTTTATTCATTTCTTTTTGAATTCCCTTTAATTTTGAATACGCTTTAATATATTGACAATATCCGCGCAAGAGTCTCAACTACTGAATGTTTTCTTCTATCAGCTAAATCTCCGTGGCTGTTTCGAGCTTAGTTAAAAGGGGCTAATCGTTTTGCTGTCATTGCTAAGAGTTGGCTGTTACAAGTAAGGCAAAAGGTATCAACACGTACTTAATTTTGGATACTCTTATTATTTTGTACGGGAAAGAATAATTTGATTTTGTGTA